CACATAATTCCATTCCTCACGCCCGTATTTCAACAGTTCACCGGTTTACATCTCTTTTATCGCCGCAGCGCCGTCGGGATTTTCCGTGCTGGTCGGCGCTGCCCGGAAAGGAATTGGCAGGCTGTGGATTAGGGTCGAGCTGTGTGCAAACGGGCGTGCGGAAGTGCAGCCTCTCTCTCTCTCTCTCTCTCTCTCTCTCTCTCTCTCTCTCTCTCTCTCTCTCTCTCTCTCTGTGTCTGTGGCCTCCTTTCTGTGTGCCTGCGGTGTTGTGCCTGAAGCTGTGGAGCGTTCCATTCACACTCGGCCCCACGAGGAAATAGGTGAGTCCCCGCGGGCTAGCGAAGTGCACCGTCTCTCCCTCTCTTCCTCTCTGCTTCCCTCTCTTTCCTTCCCTCCCTCCCTCCCCCTCCCTCCCCCCCTCCCGCCCCCCCCCCCCCCCTCCTTCTCTCTCTTAGCGCTGTTGTGCGCGAAGAGGTGGAGGGTTCCGTTCACACCCGGCTCCAGAACCAATAGGTGAGTTCCCACGGCGTATGCGAAGTGTACCTGCTTTCTCCCTCTCCTCCTCCCTCCCTGCATCCCTCCTCCTCTCCTCCCACCATTCACTTTTAGGGCTGCAACTTCATTTTGTGTGAGGGTGCCACGTTGCAAGTGGACTGGATTTTTTTCTTTTTTTTTACAAGACTGGATTTTTGCATGGCCAAGGAGTAGGCAGGGATCATGCCGTGCATGCGGAGAGGCAGGGGGAGAAGGAACACTACGGGGAGGTGAAGTGCCTGGTCATGCAGGTGGGAGATGGCCGCCATCGAAATCTTGAGAAGCTGGAGTAGCGGGAGAAGGACGAAGGGGGAGGGGGAGGATGCAGGATCAGGAGGATGAGAGAGTGGGGACTTGGTCGGTCAGGACGGCCAGATGCGAAGACGGAGGAAGCACGAGTGTCATCGCGATAGGGTGTGACGTGCAGGGTAAGTTTGTCGGCGTTAAACCACCAGTACTTCCTAAAGTCGTGCCCGTTAACGCGCCACGATTTTAGGAAACGTGCGTGCCACTGCAGGAGCGTCCAAATTCATCCAACTGGAAACGTTTCTACTCTTTTTTTTTTTTGCGGCCGATAGCTGGGCCAAGTACTGGTGGTTTAAGGAGGTTGTGAAGTGGAGGAAGACGTCGAGACGTGGAGGAGGGTCTTCAAATATATGGGCGGAGTATGTAGGTCGGGGACCCAAAGGGGATGGGCATCGCGGATCGGGAGGGGGGCGATCACGATGTGGGATCGAGAGGAGGAGAGGTCGGATGAAGGGGTCTGGAATGCCAGGCAATTAGGGTGAGGATGTGAGAACAGATGAAGTGCACAGGGGAAAGAAGGCCAAGGCAACAGGGCAAGGAATGCAGGTCGTGTGGAGGGATCCGGACAAGGTGGGGAAGAAGAGATTGCAAGGCAAGAAGACGTTCTGAGAGCGGAGGGGAGGGAACGTGTAAGGAAAGGAGAGAGCAGGACAGTGTCGAAGGGCCTCAATCAACGAGAGGAATAGGGTAAATGTGGATATGCAGGTGATGGAGAGAAGGAATGAAGAGAGAAAGAGCGACAGACAGAGGAAGAGAGGAAAGGACATACCACAGGGCCCACATCGGGTGTTGCAGAGAAGAGATAGAAGAGGATCCCAACGAAGGCGAGAAAGGCGTGGAGAAAGGGGAAAGGAGAGGCGACAGACGGACGCGGAAAGAAGAGGATGGGGAAAAGTGGATTGGTGGGTGGAAGATCGGGATGGGGGATTGAGAGGGAGCAAGTCGGAAGCCGGAATCGGCCAGGCCGTAGAGAGAGAGAGAGAGAGAGAGAGAGAGAGAGAGAGAGAGAGAGAGAGAGAGAGAGAGAGAGAGAGAGAGAGAGAGAGAGAGAGAGAGAGAGAGAGAGAGAGAGAGAGAGAGAGAGAGAGAGAGAGAGAGAGAGGAGAATAGCAAGAGAGCGGGAAGAGTGAGGGAGAAGGAGATGGCGAGAGGGACAGGGAAGAGAGAGAAACTTCGTGGGCCACTGTCTTCTCTCCATGGCGGCGCGCTAGTCATCACTACAAGTCCCACCGTAGATGTTTCTAGATGTTATAAGAAAAAAGAAGGGGAAAAAAACAAAAGGAAATGTGGACTGTGTGATATTACTGCACCCGCTGAGAGGTTCTTCTCTATCCTGTGCCTTTCTTTTTTTTTTTTTTTTCCTAATTTCTTTGTGTGCTGCTGTGCTTTCGTCTCTTCGCCTCTGGTGCTCCTCCCGCCACTCTATTGCTATCATCTCTTTTTTTTTTTTTTTTTAAGTTTCAATCTTCATTCTGCTCTTGGGGATGTTGCCACAGACCCGTTGGATCTCTCCTCTTCCATATCTCGCGTGCGTGCGCCACTTCAGCCAGGTCACTACAGCCAGGACACTACAGCCAGGACACTTACAGCCAGGACACTACAGCCAGGACACTACAGCCAGGACACTACAGCTTTGCAGGGATGGGTTGGATATCACGGCCGGTATGGGCCGTCGCTCGACTACTACTGTCCACACGCACAAAACACACAGAAAAAATATGGCCGTCTATCTTCCCATGTTCTAGCCGAAGATTCATTCTCATTTTTGCACATTTTTGGTGATTAGTGGAGCGATGCCCATGATTCTACTTTTGAACATCGTGTCCATTCTCAAAAGTCGGCCGGCCGACCTTTGTCCTGGGTGTAGCTGTAGTGGTTAAGAGACGTGGCTCTTGAGGCAAAGGTCGGCCGGTCGAAGAAACCCTTGCTCGCACAGAGGAGGGCCTTGGGCCCACATGTACGGATTCACAACTACCTACTGGTCGCGCCAACACCTAATGCTTCACGGATCCATAACTATTATTGGTGACGCCAACACCTAATGCTCAGCAGCTCTGCGGTCGAAATCAAATGATCAGAAGTGATGATCGTCACTTCTGATGGCGGTGGTGACGTCAACACCTAATCACCTAATGCGTTCATCAGCTCTGCATGGAAATCGAATGCGGAATTTGATGATACACATCGCGGAATTTTTTATACACATCTGACCGAATGATCTTATTAAACCCCACCAGTACCCCAAGGGGTCTTAGGCCCCCTCTGACGAGGCTCTGAGGCAAATGCATATGGACCTGCGCGGCGCACCGATTCATTCACCGCGTTAACGGCCTGAAAACGTGGAGGTTCTGGTGGTTTAATCAAGTCACACGATGTGTGTCAATTTCAATTTGGCAACCAAATCCTGTCAGTCGAGAGCCTTCTTCCACTCATCAAGATGATGAATGGATTGATTGCAATCGATGAATGGATTTGATTGAAAATAGGTCGGTGAAGAGGGGGGGGCGGGGGGGGGGGGGATTAATTAATCTGGGTTAACAACGAGGGGGTCTTCGGTTTCATTGGTGAATAGTTCCGGCTACTGTCTTTAGGTATTCAAGGCCATCATCGAGTATGAATGAATGTAATTAGTCCATCGACATGCTGCACACATCATCCGGATTTTATCAGATTTCATCACCTTTCTCGAACAAGCCTTGATCTCTTTTTTTTCCACGTAGTAATAGACATAGTCCTTGAACATATTGCCCCAGCTGTATTCTTCCTTTGCTCTTTCTCTCTCTCTCTCGCTCTCTGCCTCTCTCCTCTCTCTCTTTGGCAATGGGAGGAGAGAGAGAGAAAGGGGTGTTTGTCGCTCGCCTTCTCGCTTCAGACTCGAATCTCGAAAAGCCAAGGGAGATTCTGTCTCGCCAGAGCTGATGGTCATTTTTACAGAGTATGGGATTATGCAATGAAACCGTCCAAATCGAAACAAAAGATTCAACACCTGTCATCAAGAAAAATTAGGTTGATCGACAAGAAAAAGGGAAAAAAGAGAGATTCAACCCAATCCCTTGCATCTCAAAGAATAATATTCAATCCCTTGCTCTTCTGAAAGAATAAGATTCAATCCCCGGG